TTATTTTATTCGGATATTTGCATTATCCGGATAATTAATGATCTGTACAGATAATATATCTGCAGATCGTTTCTCTAAGTTTACCGATCTACAAAAAAGTAGAATTTTTTGATCACGTTTATTAACAAGTAAAAGATATGCTTTCTTAAGAAACTAAAAAAAAAATTATGAAACAAGTACAAGTTAATGGAAAAACTTCTTCTAAACATACCAATACAAACCTTCACGAACCTTCAAAAAAGAAAATAGCAACGCGTTCGACGACAACTTCATGCATAATTTTGTTCAGACTCAAAAATAGCCAACATCTTAGTGTAACGTACGCATGTGATTTTAGGGAAGGGAAACGTATTGTTTATATTTATCTCTGCGACAGTTTTTTTTAAAGTGTCTAATCCCAAAACGGAAGTGCTATTGTCCTTTGCACTTTCTAGTATAATGCGTAAAATCGCCTTCTTGCCTCCACCTAACCCAATAGTCCGTCTTGCAGGTGATGAGTCTGTTCCGCAACTAGGCGATTATGTTCTCGTTATGCTTGGAAGGCTATTTCAAGATAGTTATTTTCTTTTCCACTTGATCTCTTTGGATTATTAATATGTAAAAAAATATTAGCAATTCTATATTATATTTATTATATTCTTACATTGAACTACTGTATTTCTAATTTTTTAGGATATTTGTGTAATGAATGTAAAAGAAGTTTAATAGGAGAGAAATATCATGAAGAATTCTCTTCTGAATTCTGGAAAGGTATAATAATACTAACTGGTTTTGCTTTCGACTAACTCCATAATGTCAATGTATCCAACTTAAGTAGATTGAATGAGCTAAAAAGACTAGCTCCATTCATAACACCAACTGTGGAATTGATTAGATATATTTGACTTCGAAGCTTACAGCCTGCCTAAGATTCCAAGGTTTACAACTCTTTCTAAGGCCTAAGCATTCAAACACTGTATGGAGGACATTATCTTGAAACTTTTAAACATGGAAATTATGATCAATGCTTATGAGGCAACATGCTGTGAATTTATTTCGGCAATATTACTTTTTTCTGGTGAAGATGTAACAGGCCGAGTAGATTATGTGATCAAAAGATCTCCTATGCGTTGCTAAGGGGAAACCACATAATATTAAGATTGAATATGCCAAATAGGTCTACTACTTAGATTATGTTTTAGAGATTCTATAATATTAACACATTTTATCTATTAGAATCTGATGCAACTTGAGAATGCATTTTAGACGAATAAAAAGAAATAGACTGTGGATCAGGCATTTGGAAATGATTATTTTGACTACATCTATGGTATTGTGACGACCACAGGTATGGAGTGGCATTTTATCAAAGCAATGTAAAAATGATAATCAGCATCATTGTTAGGTTATTGAAGGATTGTGTTAGTGTTTATAGTTCCCCAGCTAGTAAGAGGGCTAGAATCAAAAAATTGATCAAAAAATAATATGTATCCTGGGTTATATCCCAAACCTTTGTATTTATTTTTGTATGTATTAATAAAAAATTTTTCTTGGCAAAATTTCAGCAAACTTGATTCGCCAAATCATGTGATTTTTTTTATTTTGAATGCTTATATACAGTGTATTAGTTTTATATAGATCATATCATCTGAGCTTGAAGTATTGAAATAGCGTATCATTAAATTTGAAGCTGAGAATACTGAAATATCCAATCTTAGAAGAAAGATCTTAGAGTTCGATGCTAAGAGAACTGAACTTAAGTGTAGGATTACCAAGATTCTAAGAATGACTGAGAAAGAGAGAATGAGGCGTAATGCTGAGAATGCTAAACTCAAGGCCAGAATCGAAGAGTTGGAGAAAAATAATATTAAAAAGAATGCTGAGCTTAGAAATTGTGTCACGAAAGTGGATCAGAGGCAGATGTTAAATGATAATATTCCTAATGATATTATCTCTAATGATAATACCTTAATAATAACTCATCTAACTTCAATTCAGATGTGGTTCACCATAAAAAATCATCACAGGAGAAAAAGATGGATAATTTCTTGAATGAGACACAAAAGAAAAGTGTTGGTGAAGATATTAGATAATGTAATAAGAAAAAGAAACTTAAAAAAGCAGAGAAGGCATTTTTTAATCAAGATCAAGAATCTGGTACTTCTGATCCTAAAGGGGTTATACCAGAAGTATCAAATCCTGTGACTGAAATTTTAGCCGGAGGCTTATGCATAGGAAGAAAGGTGCAAAAAATATTGTATAATTGATAGCTGATGGTATTAAGGAAGATGCTTAATCGAGTGACAAAGCTATTTCTTGTGATGTGATTTCAGTCAGGATCTCAGCCAAATTTTATCTACAGATCTATTGCTTTCTCTAGCTCAATTATTTGATAAAGTAGATGATGCTAAATATGACGCAATTTGTGTTAATCAAAAGGAGATTTTGTGTTAGTATTATTATAGAAAAGAATTTTTAATCTAAGTTAGTGTAATTGTATAAGATGGAAAAGGCAAAATAGGCGAAAAAAAGGCAAAGGGAATAATCTATGATAAAATGTTGAAATACCTATTCATGTTGTGAAAGCAACAATCTGAAAAGATAGGATTGCGTCTTCCAGAAATTTCCTGTAAAACTTACAAGAGAAAGCTCAAAAAGCTGTAAAGATATATAACATATAGCGTGAATTCTATTTCAGAGTTAACTAATGATAAAGTTCAAGAGATCATAGATAATTTCTCTGAGCAGAATCCAAAGGGATTGTATCATATATCACCAAAAGATGAGTCTTTGATTCCTAAAATTTCAGTTGAAGATCCTAGCCAAAATCATGTCTCTAATTCTTTTGAAGAAAAATTACCCAATGATTAGCAAAGATACTCTAACAGTCAAATCACAAGTAAGTGTACTATCTACAACTTCTTCTAGTTGGATAAATAAATCTAATAAATTCAGACTTCTGATTTTTATTTTACCTAATGATCTAGAAGAAAAATGAAAATATATAATTGGGTTAGTACTAGAGCAGAACCCTGAATAATATATGTATATGTTAGATTTGAGATTGCTTATTGAACATAGAAAAATTTTGATTAAGTCACCTAAAATTTTGCGTAGCAGATAACAAAATTTTAATATAGTCAGATATATATTTGCGTAGTAGAAATAAAAATTATCAAACTCAGTAATTAGTTTGCATACTAGAAACATATTTTTGGAAATATGTGTGATATCAAATATAATCCAAAAAAGATAAGTATACCTCTTAAATTAAGACACGTAAATAAAATCAACACATAATTTTTAAATTAATTTAATATGTGATAGTGTAACAAAACT